TAAGTCGACCAAGGTAAATCAAAAAATGTGAACCATTTTGAAATCTGTCAAAACCCTGCCAAACGGCAGCACTCATATTTTTCATGATGTGTCATTCGACAGTTTTAGCTTATGTAAATTCTGAGTTGAAAAATTGGAAAAAAATTACAGAACTGTCAAAACCTGTCATTTGTTTTAGTAGGAAAAAAGATTTATGTCTGGTTCTTTTTTGTTTTAAAGTAGTTTATTGGTAATGAAACATTAGGCAAAGCTCATAGACTTCAAATTTTGACAGCTGTCAAAATATGAAACCTGTGTATAATAGTTATTTATGTATCAAGGGTACTAAGTAGATGATTATGCCCTGAGGGCGACAGTCTTACAAAGCGGAGGGCCTCTGGCCAGAGGGTTCGTAAGTCGCCCGTGGGTATCTATTAGTACCCGTGGTGCATACAAACTTTTATGTCATACCAGTTGGTTGTGAATAATAAATACCTGGGAAAAGAATGTCACTACGCAAATTGTCATCAGTGTGCAAACATCATCATTTTTTGACAAAAATGATATGTTTATAAGCGTAAATTTATATTTTGTTAATAAAAAATAAGTTAATTGAAAACTGTTTTTTGCGTCTTTATGCCTGCGCGGGCCATAATGTGTACTTTATGCCCGCACGGGCATAAAGTAATGAATTATGTAGATGGTATCTAAGGTATAAAAACACAATAATGTATTGGTATGACATAAAGTTTTTTTATGTTTCATAATAAATAATCATAACTTAAATAATTGGAACAGGATAGAGTTCAGTTTTTTTTTTTCAAATAAAGCTAATGTCAGATTCGGACAGCTGTCAAAATTAGATGTCTATGAGCTTTGTTTGTTTGTTTAATGTTTTATCACCAATGAACTGCCTTCAAACGAAAAAGAGCCAAATTGGAATCTTTTTTTAACTAAAACAAATGACAGGTTTTGAGTGTTCTGTAATTTTTTTTTCAATTTTTGAACTCAGAATTTACATAGGTTGAAACTTTCAAATGACGCATCATGAAATATTGGAAACTGAAAAATATGAGTGCTGCCGTTTGGCAGGGTTTTGACAGGTGTCAAAATGGTTGACATTTTTCGATTTTCCTTGATCGACTTATTAGGAATCGATACTTGCTTCATCAAAATTTGCATTAGTTAGCCTACTTTTGAATATTAGATTCCAATATTTGACAGCTGATACCGCCTCACCTGTCATATGTACAAGGTTGCGCCGATGGTAAAAAATGATGCTTACGGCATTTCTAATAAGATAGTTAAATTTCATCCAAATATCACGGGTAACCAATTTCCGTTTAAATATTGCGGGGTCCTTTCAGGATGTTGAGCTGGTGGTGCAAAATCATGTTGACTGTCCATACAATAAAATAATCCTCTACAGGTATCAGCAATCAGCACTGTGTGACAGATTTTGATATATTATCACCTTAGATTATATAGTATAGTTAGCACTAAAAGATGAGTAATCAACTCCCAAATATGGTACAAAGATCTCTCTCCAAATATTTTGATTTTCTCTCTCACTTTGTTTACGCTGGTTTTCTATAGTACGATTTCCAAAAACCCGTTTAGATTTTGGATCTTTAGACATCTCTCTCTTAGGCAATATTTAAACGAAAAAAACACTATATATACAAGTCTAGCTAAACAGAGTATATTGTTTGGGTGGTTCTCAATAGAAACTGACTGCCGTACCAGCGTAAATGTCAATATTCATATTGTCATATTGTTGTGTGTTTATTTTATCGATTTTTTTGGGTGTTTCACTGCTTTAAAAGTGGAATTGTTTAAGAATTTATGATTTACATTTGTATACATTTCGTGAAAGTTTCTTATTCAGGATTCGAAATGACTAATAAGTGTGCAGTGTGTCAGAAAAGAGGAAAACCAGAGGATTGTTTATCATTTCACCGGTTAGTAAACAAAACCTATGACATCGACATGATTGAAGGAAAAAAAACACAGTGTCGGAGGTGCATGTAGGCCACAAAAATACAAGATGTTACATATTTATTTTAATTTTGTATTTCTATTAAACATTATTTTTTAGTATTCCAGATAATTTATATGAAAAGAACATGATTAGGAGCATTGAATTTAATATCCAGCTCAGTAAGCAAATGGACGTATATTTGTGCAGACCATTTTGGCAGTGGATGAGAATAAAGATTTTCAAAAACTGATGCTAAAATTTTAAAAGCCTTTGCTGTTCCTGTTGTTGCAAGCACCAGCGCTTCTCGAGTACTGTCCAGGTTAAGGACTACTTGTCGAGGTACTTGTTCATAGGTTCATGTAAAAAAAATCTTTGATTTTTGAAGAATCTATATTCGTGATTTGTTTGGACCCCTCAATTAGGTATTAAACGTACTGGAATTATCTTCATTAATGGTGTTATGTCCACCATTCAATTCAATAAAACTAAAAGTTTGCCAACTTTCAAATAAGGATGAAGTTCGGCTCAATTTGGAACTTGTCAGGAGTAAGAAATTAATTTTCATTTGGACTAATTTATCAACAAATTTATAAAATGTTAATAAATGAACCAAATTATTGGCTGGCCAAGTAGTGCTTTGGTCTGCCTCTACTTTGACTACTAAACAGTGGTTAGTAGATACTAAGTTTAAATCATACATGGCATCCATAATGGTGACAATAATATCATTCTGATGCTATAATCAACTTTAAAAATATAGGTACTCATAGTACTTTTTGTAAGTATTTAATATTCACTTGAAAGTTAAATGCATTATATTTTCAGTATTTGCATTATTGATCAGTTTGCTGTAAGTATATTTTTGTTATCAATAGGTACCTCAACTCTTGTAATATTATTATTAATATTCTGAATAAACATTGTTTTTTTGGATTGTTGTTAAATTATTACAAAGCTATTTTTGATAAAAATCTTCAAAAAATTAAAAAAAAAAAAATCTAACAAAATAAAGGTCTGTTTCTGCAGAGATCCATTGGTTGAAACTAGTTTTCTGGCTGTTTTCAGCCAATGAAGTTCGCCCTGACTGGTTTGTGATTTCTGCAGAAACAGACCTTTGTTTTGGTCCCATCTCATGTATTTTTTTTGGAAACAGTCCAGTTTGCTTTCAGTTTAAGTGCTCAAATTTATCATTTTAAAAACTTCCTTTTTCTGGAATTAAATATATATTTCAAAAAATTATTTTTTATGGGTACGCCAATGGGAACCTTTGCTTCTAATAAAATACCTCTACGTATTTCTTGGGAATACGTAGAAATTCTTAACACATGTTTGTGCCACCTTACTCCAATGCTTTTAGATAGGGCGTTACCTATCTTGTCACGTTAGTAGATATTAAATCTATGATTATCACAGATCGATTTCTGTTTCTCCATTCACATTTACTTCTATGACATTTGCGGTCTCTCCAGTCCACTGTTATGATGATATTTCTCCCATTAATTTTACTTTTAGGTTATAGTCAAACTGTCCGCAGTCTTTCCAAGTATATTGATGGATATGATTCTGAGGGCTTCACTTGCACTAGCCAACACCCGCTTCTCTGTGTTGACTAATTGTAGTTTTCTTGGTTCTTCTTTATCGAGTCTTGTTCCACTTGTAAATATTGACACAGCTCTGATTTTATTGGATAGGTATCTTTTATGCCGCTTCAATTTCTAGGGCTCTGATCAAGGCTCCGCTGATACTTGATGGTTTGTTTATGAGCAGAATTCTCTCTACGTCCATATCCCTTTAATTATGAATTTTTATTAATTAACCAAACGGCGCAATTAGCGGAAATCGGTTTCAAATTCTTTTAAGCTTCCCACAGCTTTCTGTTGTCTTGTTTTTAGCTGCACCTGGTAAAGCTGCCTTGAGTATTGTTCTCCATAACGTTGGGTCTAACGCATCGACAAGCGCAGCATAATTTTTTTGGGAAGAAGGAGGAAGAGTCTCTACTAAGTCTAATACAATAGTTGCCAGTTTCCACATGTGTGGGACCGCCTTTGATCTCGAAATAGTTATTTATGTATCAAGGGAATTATGTGGGTGTTAATACCCCCGGGCCCGAGGGACACCAATTGCCCGTGGGTATTAACACCTGATAATTCCCGTGGTACATAGATAATTTTATATCCTACTGAATTTACTGTATTCTGTTTATTTTTATAAAGGAATAAACCATAAATCAAAATTTCTATTTTTTATCTAAGTTTTACCTATTCAAGGTAAAAGCGGTAGTTATGGAAATCCTTAACTCCCTTGGGAGTTATGATATCCTTAAATCCCGCGCGAGAGATGAAATCCTTAACTCCCTTGGGAGTTAAGACCCTATTTATGATTATCGTAACCAAGGTATTATATGGTTATAATGGTACAGTAGGATATAATAGTTATTTATGTATCAAGGGAATTATGCAGGTGTTAATACCCCAGGGCAACGTTTGTGTCCCTCGGGCCGGAGGCCCAATTGCCCGTGGGTATTAACTCCTGATAATTCCCGTGGTACATAGATAATTTTATATCCTACTGAATTTACTGTATTCTGTCTATTTTTATAAAGGAATAAGCCATAAATCAAAATTTCTATTTTTTGTCAAAGTGTTACCTATTCAAGGTAAAAGCGGGAGTTATGGAAATCCTTAACTCCCTTGGGAGTTATGATATCCTTAACTCCCTTCCTTAACTCCCTTGGGAGTTATGAAAATCCTTAACTCCCTTGGGAGTTAAGACCCTGTTTATGATTATCGTAACCAAGGTATTATATGGTTTTAATAGTTCAGTAGGATATAAAAGTTTTAACACGCACTGAACATCCCGACGCCAATAGAAGTATCTGAACTTTCTTCAGGTTCAAAACAACAAACTTAACCTCAAAAAAAAAGTCAAATACCTATCAATTTCACACAAGCTATCGACAAAAATAGCTTTAAAATTCTCCATGCTCTAAAATTTTAATGGTTGAGGGCCAAATTTATAGTTCACTAACAAAATTATAGTCATGTCGTTCGAGTACTACACAAACTGGTGGATCCAGTCCAAGAAGAATCTGGAAGAGCTCAACAACAAAGATGAAGGTATCAGAGCAAAATTCAAGCCCATTACCGACAGAAATCTAGCTAATCAGCTGATTGGCGGATTGTATACCCATTATTCTTTATTGGTCCAGGATTTGAGCGCCTGCGTCGACCAAATGGCACAGGTAAAATAGAAGAAACAACTAAAACAGAGTATATAAATCGGTCGGAGTGTTTTGGAACTCCACCTATCGAACTTCTTCCTTATTTTTCTTTTTGATACAGTTTACTGAAGTTTTGTGCGTTATCTAATCTTTTCATCATTGTTAAATCTGCAAGGTTTCTTTTTCATAGCTTAATAATCAATTTACAGCAAAGTCGCGTTCTTTTTTAGGCTCAAAAACGTTTCTCCGCCAAAAAACTCCTAGACTCGGCCTGCATCCGCCTCAACGAGTTCAACGATGAACTTAGAAAAATAAGTCTCTCCGAGTACCACTACATCGATGACACGTTAGTCGAACTCAAACTGATACCTTATAACGTCGAAATTCTACATCCGAGCTTGTTTCATCATCGACCAGTTGATATCGAGGATATGATTTCCAGGATCAAGGTCAACATTAATTTGTTTTCTTCAGATAGTCAATGCTTTTTTTTCTAGACTACCATTGCGTCATTGTGGGTATAAAATTGAAAAGAATTACTTCTTTATCGGCGCCACATTGGTCCTGAAACAAACACCATTGATCTTCTAGAATTCAGTCAGTTTTGGTTTTCTCTTTATAAGTTACATCTGTTTGTAGCAAGGGGAAAGTATTTATGTTCCTCCGGTACTGACAGTGGTTTATTCGGATACAGATTTACTGGAACAGGATAAGGATGAACCAGCAAAACTGAAAAACGTAAAATCTGTAGCTTTCAGTTCTAAAACTGAACTTCCTGCGCCCGATGTAAAAAGGATTTCTTTGGGAGAAGGCGGCGAGGGAGATGCTTCGACCCAGAAATCAACAGCATATGCAATAAGATTGTAAATAATAAATTTAAATGAGGTAAAATTCAACATGCTGTTAAAATTGTAGATCGAGAGACGTCTTAACACTTCCAGGAATTGATTTGGAACAACTCAAAATCAAAAGACAACAAACTTCCTTTATTGACGCGCTGCTTTGCATCCAGATTGCCGAAAGAGCGCGCCAAGAACGGCTCTACTTCCACGATAAAAATATCATATATCAACGCAGCAAGGCTTTGGTAAGTTTACATTATTTTTTCTTTGCGAAACGTAATTCCTGGTATTTCTTTATCCCAGAGAGATATTAAACTCAAAGGCAAACCTCTGAAACCTGCAGCTGCAGATGTAGCCAATCTGGCTGCTGCTAAAATTCAGAAAGTATTTAGGGGTTACAAAGACAGGGAAACGTTGAAAGCCAGAGAACAACAAAGAAGGCTACTGATAGGTATATACCTGATTGTGTAGTTTATAGTGTCTTATTCCAGAAGTAGCTAGGAATTTGAAATCTGGTAATCGCTTCATATTTAGCTACAGCTATATTTTGTAGAAACTAACAAACTTTTACATTTCATATTCATTCATAGCTGTAACTTTAGGGGACCTTTGTCTACATGACCATATGGTTTGACCGAGGGTTTTACAGTTCTATGGCTGTAATTTCGGATAAAAATATTTAGATTTATTTTTATGTACTCTACTCTCTACTGAGCCTGCAGCCTCAATTGTAGCTACCATTTCAGTAAATTTGTTACACTTAAGTGAAGATTTATTCGTTGTCTATTAGGTATCAACAACTGTTTTCTGGTAAGTATATAGCTATTTTAAGGAATTACACATTAACCCTCATTTTCGGCCCATCTACGTACGTATTCCTAGCTCGATCTACGACCTTGAACGATGGCTACTGCCAACAATAATTCCTTTTTTCAGGAATTTACGCTAGGCTCCCACCTATTCTTTGTTGATTTATAATTCAAACTTCATATATAATGTGTCTATAGCTTTATTACCAGCTCAACACTATAACAACAGCCAGTAATTTTCGCAAGGATTGAGTATCTATCGTCTTCAGTCATTCAGTGCGTTTTCAAAACTAAAACAGTGGCCAACCAGTACTAATTATTCCCCTGCCCAGAAATTAACTTATACTTTTATTTGAAGTAATTTGATACTCTTCTAACAGTGCTCTAGCACCAACTACACATTGATCCCTCCCATAGTGGTGTGAGATAGATAAGAAAAGTTTCAGATCTGACAACCGATGCTCCCCTTTGGTTTCAGGGTTCAGATAGTATAGGGGTAAGCCCGGGACACAAATTTTTTTGGCCCTATAGCGGCGTTGATATGACGTAATCAATATGGCCCTCAATTTTTCTGTGACATGATTGTACAGTTCCCTATATAACTCGAGTTTGTATTCTGATATCAACCTATATTATTAGTGATTATTAATCAGGAGGAGACGCGCTTTCCAACGATATATGGCACATCATCATTTACGCACATAATAACATTATGCTAAATAACTTGAAATCCGTTATAGTTAACTGAAAATGTGTCGTATACTTTTTTGTGAGTGAATAAAACTTTCGAAGGGTATATATTATAGCTTCTATTTTCTAAACAAAAGTTGCTGGAAATTTGTCAAAACAATGTAGTATTGCACAGCAAGCTGTTATGACAACAATGTAATTTGTACGGGTTCCGGAAACTAATGGCGTTTCCGATTGGTAAATTTAGTGCAGAACTAGTGCAATTTTCTCTATTTCTCTCTTTATCTTCTACAGGTCGATTAAAAAGATGCAAATACACTCAGTGCGCACTGAATCTACCAATCGGAAACGCCATAATAGAGCGGCTTGTCAAAGAAATTACCCAATCATGTCAAAAAAGAGGAAACATGAGTTCGTTGATGCTACGACTGACCTAGTGGTGGTTCTGTTTGTATGGACCGTGACGTGTGTTTGTTATGCCAGAAGCATTCAATAGGGCGTTTGATAATCCCGAATCATGAAGGTTATTTAACCATGGCTAAGAATCTCGCAATTTTTGCTGAACATAGTCAGCTTCTGAGTGATATAAGAAATTTGGACCAGTTGAAGGATGGGCGTTGTCTTTCACAATTACTAGTAACCCATCCAGCAAAATATTACAAATCTTGCAAGAACAAATATGACAGTCAAAAGGCGGAAAGACTATCTTGCGAAAAGAAACCGAAAAAGCGTCCATCTTGCTCAGAAACTTCATCTGCATAAAAATTTACAAAATCATCATTATTTTCTTCAGATGTGAAAAACGTGTGTCTGTGTTGTGACGAAGGAGAAGGTAAAGATAAACTTGTGACTGCATCCACGCTGGGTATCGGGCCTAAAATTCATAGTCATGCTGTACAATTACAAGGTGAAAAAGTGTTGAAGAAGTTATCATCAACAGATTTTGTAGCATTATTTCAAATAAAAATCAAAAATACGTAGTTGAAATACTTTTGACCGCCTAATTTATTCAAATACCCCTCTGTGCGACGTAACCGCTTTTACTCCAAACTTCGTCGTTTTTGGAAAAGAACTTCATCTTCCTCACAGCAATGACGTTTTCCAGACTTTGACAAATAAATTCGATCCCTTGGCACGCTCCCGCGATTTGTTAGAACTGTTCAGCGATATTCACAAGAAATTAAAGCAAGCCTATGAAAAGTCACGGCACGACTACGATCTGCGCCGACGTGATGAACGATTTGTTGTGGACCAACCAGTTTGGAAGAGAAATTACCATCTCTCTGATGCTGCCAAGAATTACATATCGAAGCTTGCTCCAAAATGTTCTGGCCCTTTCATCATTTCCGAAATTAAATTTCCTTGGTCATATGAGTTGAAAGACCAGAACAGTCGATCAGTGGGTGTTTGGCATGCCAAGGACCTGAAAGCTCATCGACCCGACGATAACGCCATTGCAATTTGAGTTCAGCCAAATCCTTTCTCTAGGCATAGGTACATAATTTTTTTGTTGTTAATGATTGAATATTTCAAATCAGAAATCAGTAGGTATTAGTTTTGATGATTCCGACTTGGATTCACATTAGTTTCAGTTGTTTAAACTAGGTAGTTATGTACCTACGTTAGGAGCTTCGATGAGGGGTAGGTATCCTTCTGTCTTTGGCTTCGAATTGTCAACTGTAGGTATCTGACTGGTTCACCTATTAGGTGATAAACTTTTTTTTATGGACGGGAGGTGTTGTTACGGATCACAATAATAGGTCTTTACAAAATAATTAAAAAACTAAAGAGTCTCCGAACATCTTCTCTCATAAACCTCGAACTCTCCTGAAATGAAATTAACCGTTAAGTACCTTTGGTTTGAATTGTAAATAAATACTTACCTTGTTCAGTGCTTCATTAATTAAAACAATTATATCTCCACCGTGCTAGATTGTCACTTTCTAAATTTTCATTTTCACTTTTTTTTTTTTCACTTCTAATTTTTGTTTGTTACATAATAAAATTGGTATCAAAAAGTGTAACAAAATTTCGTTTCAACATCGTCGTCGCATGTGAAAAGAGCTCGGTATGCATACGAAGTTACTTTAACTGCATGGTCTCAGGTGAACGCATCCAACAAATCATGCGAAACAAATTCCAGCATCAGTGAAGAAGGCATTGAACTGTGGATTTTGTCGAAAACATCTGAATGTCCTGAGTTCCAATATTGAAATACAGTTGTCAAACAGGAGTCCCTTCTAGTCCAATTTGTATTGCGTGTTCGTGGAAATTTGCGTTGGACGCAGTCCACCATTCTGGTTGGTTGCCAGTGTTCGTATGCACTCTACAGGACCTTCCAGAAAAACATCCAGATATACATGCTGAATTTCTTCGTGGCAACTTCACGAGCAGCAAAACTGCTAGACCGTTTTCTGCAATATCTAACGATTAACTTCATGAACACAATAACAAATTTATAAAGGGTGAAGGTGGCGCTATTGGACTCCTTGACAGTGAAATTGCTCTGGTCAAGTGGATGGTAGCAGGCCCTAGGATCAGTTCTTTAATTGAGGAATTTGAGAAGAAATCAAATTTAAATGATGACAAAAACGTGGGCGCGAAGCTTCGTGAGGATAACAATGCATTTCTGAAACGGTTTTTGGCTCATGTTAAAAAATTAATAATTTCTTAATCGAATAAGAGAATCCGTTTGAAGAATCCGATTTGGTGTCAATAGGGAGCTCCAAACTAATTCCAAGTGTCGAAGCTGTGAAGTCTGTTAACGAAGCATTTACTTTAGGACTGAAGCAGTATGATGAATATGTCTCATTATGTCTCGATCAAGTTCAAAATTCAATCCATGAAACTATTTCTCGGTCCAATATTCACATCTTCAAGACTATTACAAGAAAAACAGATAAGTCAAAGTCCAAGATTGCCAACTTACGTAAAGATTCCAACTTGTTCTGCAGATTGTATTTGGCATCTGACGCACGGGATGATGAGTTCTTTTCGCATGAAAACCAAATGTACCCACCATCCATTTCACATGATGGAAAATTGCGCAAATCAACCAACAAGTCGGATATTATTGACTGCATTCGAACAAAATGTGGCATTAGCTTTAATCCCAGCCAACCGAATGTAACAGCTAAAATATTCGATGGAGCAGCTGTAATACACATGCTTATGGCCGTTTCCACCAACTATTTTAGGGAAGCCTTAACGATAAGTATTCCCTAAACTGACAGTTTTCCATGGAGAAATGTCAGTTTAGGGAATACTTATCGTTAGGGCTCCCCTAAAATAGTTGGTGGAAACGGCCATTAATCCTGCACATTTTCCGAATACTATGAGCATGTTTTCATACCATATTTCACAAGTCTACTGAAGAATAGTTCACGAATAATTGTATTCGACAGATATGTTAGTAACAGTTTGAAGGCAGATACCCGAGAAAGTAGAGGAAGTGTCAGACTCAACTAGAATTCCAAAAAAAAATGAAGTAATTCCTACGTATTAACGAAAATAAGACGCAATTGTTCCAGTTGCTTGCTGAGAAAATGGTGAGAGACGAGAATCCAGGAAAACATGTCTGTACTTATGATGACCAAGTCCTCACGTCAACAACTATGGATGTTTCAAGCATTTCTCCCGCCTCACAGGAAGAAGCAGATGGCCATTTACTTCTCCATGTTAAGCATGCAGTAGAAAGTGAACATACTCGCGTCTTAATTCGAACTGTGGACTCAGATGTAGTGGTTATTTCAATATCACTGTTTCCACAAATATATAAAATATTGATGAACTATGGATTGAGTATGGTTGTGGGAAATACAGAAAATTCATTGCAATTCATAAGATTTGTGCCACACTCTCATCGGAAATTTGCAGAAATTTGTTAGCTTTTCATTCTGCTACTGGTTGCGATACAGTTTCCACCTTTTGTGGCATTGACAAGAAGACAGCTTGGAAGGTCTGGATGTCAAT